TCAAAGTAAAGTTTAATCATTGTTCAACAGTCATGTACTTATGTAAAGCACATGTAATCAAATATGTTTAAATCATCACAAGTGTATTTGTTTATTTAAATATTTGTATATATATTGTCACAATAATGATCTTTTTAACCTCTTCAACCTCAATATAAGCAACATTTGAACTAGTTTCCGATTTATATCGAACGCAGTCAATCAATATTTAAAAATTGCAAATAAATTGAAAACCATTTTGTGCCTATGGTGATTTGCAATTCTCTGGCATGATAAGCCATTGCTCTTATCTAAAAATATGAGGCGGTAAATAAGTTTTTAAAAGCTTTGCATTAGTCTCATATATAATTCTGAATGATTTGACTGATGACTTGAAATGAAGGCGAGACAAATACGGTGATTTAAGGTTAGATCTACTTACGGTATTCTTTGCATGTAAATCTAAGCTACAGTAAGATTGATCTGCAGGGTATTCTTTATGAACATTTTGATTTATTATTTATTCCTTTGAACACGGATACCGACAGCATATTATCTTCGGATTCACTTGAAAGAAGGGGTTTGTTGAAATATCAAACATAAGCCATTAACAATCATCTAGTGTCATTTGCGAAGCTAAATTTTATATTTAGATTTGGAAATTTAGATTTGTGTATTTCACAAAAATGAAGAAACTTAAACATTTTTTTCTGTCTTTCAACTTCTTTCAAATTATTGCTGGATTAACAAAATCCTTTGTTTATGAAATGTACGCCAGCAATGAAAGTAATGGGAATCTTATATCTAGCTTTAATGATAGTTCCATCAACAAATGTGTTGCTCTTTGTGATAGTATGTTCGGATGTCTGTCTGTAAATTTTCATGAAGTAAATAAACAGTGTGAGCTAACAGATTATTATCCGTTAGATAATACAACGTCAGGAATACCTAACAACGGATGGAAAATTTTCTTTCGGAGAAACTTTGGTAAGAGATTTATTTTCGCGTTAGGTTTGTGGTTCAGGGAACACCATTGATAAAATTAGGGTAGGATGGTAGGGATGCTACTCTTTATGTTCCCTGTAGCGTTTGATAATCTATTGCCATTAAATGCAACATACACGCAAATAAAATAAAAACTGAATATGTTTTATTCAAACTATTAATGTTTAAAAAATTTATAATACTATTTGTGTCTAAAAACAAGCAATTCGTGCAATCTTGGATAAAGGGATATAATTAAACTTTACTGCATTCTTTATAAAAGTAAATAGTGATATATTTTTATATTTTTAATTAAATAGTTTTCTGCGATTCATATATTGCATATAAAACATTCATTTTAAAAGAGAGAAAATTAAAAAAATCACACAAAATATCACTTAAACGTACCATAGGAAGAATTCGAGGAAAGTACTCAGAACTTTCGTAATAACTGATCAAATATTTATTGATGTGACATTCTATATCATTATTAGTTTATAGTCCGTCCGTAATCTTTTATGTCGAAAAAGAAACTCCTCAGAAAATGGATATTACTCGTGTTAAGATCATCTATGATAAGTAACGTAATCTTATATAATGTCATAACTGTTTTCATATGCAACCTGGTGGTTTATGATGATTCAGCACATCGTCGCTTATAGATATAATTAATATATAATATATATAATTTGTTTTTTTTTCTTTCTTCTCTTTTCCCCTCGGTACGTGCAATTCTTTGTGAAGGCACAGGGCATCAGCATATGTTAAAAGATCCACTGCAACATGTAAGACGACAAATTCGCGTGCTTTTTACAGCATAGGGTTTCGTTTAAGGCGGCCTGACTTAAGGTTTTAGGTTAGCTGCCGATGTCCTGACTTTAGCCAAAGAAAATGGTCTGAGACGACGAAGAAGGATACGAGAGTGCGTGAGCCGCTAGTACGGTTTAGAAGTCTTTATGATAATCCTTTCTTGCATAGCAGACATGAATATTTGCCGTTTCACCGGTGCAAGTAAAATTTGTCTTATGCCCCCGTAATGCACGTCGTTGAGAAGACCCAGAGCATCGGCAGATGATTCAAGATCCACTGCAACGTGTAAGACAGAACAGAAAGTATGCGTGCTTTTTAAGCTCGGGATTACGTACAAGACAGCATGATAAAATTTGTGTAAGATAAGCTGTCGATGTCCTGACTGAAGCCAAAGTGAGTGACCCTAAAATGTGTCAGAGACGAAAAGGAACAGTTTTGGGGTGCTCGAGTCGCTAGTAAAAGGCGATGACTTTAGCGGTGGTGCCCTTTGCCGGAAGAAAAACAGCGCTTTGCAGTACTAATCTCCTGAATAATTCGTCTGCAAAGTAGCCTAGTTTTATATGATATATGAATATGGATAAGACATATGATTTACTGCGGAATGACACTATTTATTTTGCGAGTCGTCAATAAAAATAAAAGTATATAAAAACATTTACATACACTGGCTTAAAGTCAGGAGCTATTTTATTTTATTTTTTTCTGATGCAAAACTTTTTTCAAATGGATAGACAATATTTATTTCTCAGTAATCAAATAAAAGACTGTGCAACTGTGTAATTCCATGTGTAGCCATGCTTACTTTTCTATATTCAAAAATCTTGATACAGACTTTAGTTACTGATAAGCTCCGCCTATACAGCATGCTATATGTAACATCACTTGTGTATTAAATCTTGGAATATTAAGACGTGCTCTTGTTGTATCTTACTAGTTAACAATATACAATAGTATATTTTACTGGACATCTCATTTGAGATAAAATATTCTCGATAGTATATGAGGGACGGTCAGAAAATATCTGGACTTTGCATGCTCCTCTCTTTCAACATGCAGCTATATACAAACATTAAATATTGGTGAAAATTACATGCATTCGCCAATAACGTGGTCAGTTTATTTTCAATGATAGTTGTTTATGCACAGTATTTTGCCCTCTGATATATGACAGATGTTTCGTCTATTATGGACTCTTTGTTAGAGGCACAACGCTCTGTAAAAAAGTTTTTGGTTGCAGAGGGTGAAAATCCCTGCCACATCTTTCAGAGGCTTTAAAAAAGATTTTCTGATAAATGTGTATCACGTTCAACCTTCTACAACTTGGTTTCTCAGTTTTGTGAAGGCAGAACAAGTGTTTGTGTCAGACCTAGGACTGGGCGTCCAGCTGAGGCGGTGACCCCAACAATGGTAGCAAATGTTAAAGCTTTTGTCAACAAAAATCGTCGAGTAACTTTGGAGGAGGTAGCCAACAAGTTTAGCATCGGTAAGGCATCGGCACCCAAGATTTTACACGAACACCTAGGCATGAGCAAGGTACGTGCCAGGTGGGTGCCTAGGCAGCTGTCCGCAGATCAGAACGCAACCAGAGTTACCAATGCAAAATAACATTTAAGTCGTTTTAATCGTTAAGGAGATAAGTCTTTGAACCGCATTATCACTGGAGTTAAGATGTGGGTTCCATATTCCGAACCTGAGACAAAAGCTCAGTGAAAGCAGTGGAAACGAGATGTTTCCCACCTCCTCAAAAGTATAAGCTGTCGCCTTCGGCTGGCAAAGTAATGCTTGTTGCCTTTTGGGATTCACGAGGAATGATACTTAGTCATTCCATGCCAAAAGGTCAAACTGTCACCGCCAAGTACTATTCTGAAGTAATTCTGAAAAATCTCAGAGAAAAGCTGAAGCAAATGCGTCCCAGGTTAGCAAAGAAAAATGTCCTTCTTCATCACGATAACGCCCACTCCCATACCGCCGCAGCTACAGTGGAGGTTATCAACTCTTACAATTGGCAATTGTTGTCATCCTTATAGCCCAGACCTCGACCCCTGTGACTTTTATTTGTTTCCAGAACTGAAATAATTGCTTGCTGGAAAGAAATATAAGACCATGGCGGCTTTTATATCTGCTGTTACACAGTATCTAAAACAAAGGTCTACGTCATTGTTCACAGCGGGAATACAAAAGCTCCCACGAAGATGGCAAAAGTGCGTTGACGTAGGTGGATAATATTTTAAAAAAGAATAGAAAGATTTTTTTTTAAATGTTGAATGGTTTTCGAGAACGAGTCAAAAGTCCGGATATTTTCTGACTTCCCCTCGTACTTGTCACTAAAACAAAACATACAACACTAACATTAAATGATGCGTCTACCTAAAGGGAGACTGTTTTGCATTTGAGCAAATCGCATCGTTGTAAGAGTTGTTGAATTGCATCGTCGTAAATGCATCTGAAATTTTCAATTTATCCGTTTGTTTACTTTTGGAAATTAGGAAATAAGTTCGTTTTGATAAAAAATATATCTTTTTAGAGTTGGGAGTTGGCATTTTTGTCTCCACATTTCGTAATATATGCATGTATAACTTTAATTGTAGTCGAACTCTCTTGATCGGTTTCATTGGACTATTTATGCAAATTTATAATTTTTCCACTGTCTGAAACGGAATATTCCAGTGTGCTTTTTTATACATGTCTCAGTAATTTTGAAAATATTATTATAGGCACATTGTAAAATATTTCTTTTTGTGAAAGTGCATACATGTGACATTTCAAGAGTTTTAAGTACATTTAAAAAGTTAACGCTTAAGCCAATGCAATGAGAAGTAACATTGATTTCAAACTGTCAACTACGACCGATAAAGAAAATATTTGTTTAGTTTTTTTCCGAAACTTTAAACTACGACAATACGAATTTTTCAGAAAAATTTAATCAACTGGTTCATTTCTCAAAAAGTTGTATAAAAATTTAATACAAAGATCAACAAAGAATTGTGGCAATTAATTAATCTAAGTTTTTGACTTCATGCCAAGTAAAAATGAAGGGGATTAAAGCCGATATTTTCAACAAAATTGATCGCAAATCGGACAGTAAAACCTTTAAACTTCTTTCAACCAAACATTCCTCTTCTTTTTCTTTTATATATTTTCACAAAAAAAAAAATGGCGATTCGTCAATAGAAACATGAGGTATACTCTATAAATAATATTACATAGAATCTATCTAGAAATCTAAAAGTGTTGTTTTTGTTGTTGTTTTCACAGGAATAAGTTTTTTACAAGGAGCTGAAGCATGGCAGTCTTCTACATATTTGTATGAAGGTGCTGTTAATATGATAGCAGACAAGGCTATAGATGGAAAGATAGAAGGCATCCACGACTGTGCCCACACTGCATCTGGTTTCTCTTACTGGGCTGTTAAGTTTGGAACTTCGGGTCCTGTGAAGTCAGTCAAAATGAAGTTACGGACAGACTACTGTTGTATGATATCAATATTTATTTTATTATAAGGAAACGAGTTCAAGATTACATCTCTCATATTTCACAATAGACATCAAACCTCTGAGGTTATTTTTAGGGAATTTGGTAACATAATATTATAACATATCATTAAATTCATTTGAAATTACAAGTAGCTAGTCTTACATGACGTAATTCGCACACGCCTATTATGAATGAATTGCGTTCTTGGAAAACGTCATTTTTCCGCTATGAATGAAGTTATAAATTCATACACTACTATTAGAAAAAAGTGCTTGACGAAAATATCAGTTTTATGAATTTTGTTTAAAATTTAAATTAAATATAATTAAGTTTAATTTATTTTGGAAACATCATTGATTTGTAACATGCAAGAAAAAGGAAAAAGAATCATACACTTGCTGTCGTTACACACATGAATATCTAGCTCTCGGGTAGTTAAGGGCAGAGCCTCATTACCGCCGTAAACAGTTACTCTCGAGCCAGAAATTTCAATCTGTATAGGCAGCTGGTGTTACATCCAAGCTTTTCAAATGTTTGTTTAATGATTTATTTTCAAAGTAACACGTTCAAAGTCGTAAAAATCTAAAGAAAGTCAACAGCAAGAATAAAAAATTGAAAGAATCTTTATGATACGATCAAACCCGATGATTAATTTTATTCTTTGAAAAGAATGATACTTTAGAATCAACTAAAAAGTTAAAACAAAAAGATGATTTTGTAATTGTTTTCATATATATTAAGAAAGATTGATTTAAATCATACAAGCAATATATGATAAACATTAATATGTTTCAGTTGAAAGACAGACAAATTACACAGTGACCGTTGCTAACAGTCGTGATGATGTCATAAATGATGCAGGAACAAAATGTGGATCATACTTTGGTCCTGCTATAGACAAGGAACCTTTTAGCATAACAATCGATTGTACAAATACAATCTTCGGAAAGTTTCTAAAAATCAAGCATGAATCTACAGAAATGATGGCGTTATGTGAGGTCTACGTTTATACACCTTAAATGTTTCAAACATACTGTGCACAACTTCACGAACTTCAAATAAATGTTTACTACTGTATATTAGATACTGAAAAAAACGGAATTCCTTAAAATGCACAAAAACGAGACATTGAAAAGGTTTGATTGATCTTCTTTGGTAATGGTATTTGCAAGCTTAGACCTTCTCGAGAATCAATCATATAACCAATATTTTCATAAAATTAACAATGTAATAGTCCTGACCCTTATTAACATCATAGTGCAGCAAACCTTGTGATTTAATTGAAGACTCATCAATACCCAATAAAGTTTTCTTCATTATTTGTATTTTTTCCAACGTTTTTTTCTATAAAATTATTATTGTTATAATTATCATTATTATTAATATTGATGATCTTTTACGGTTTCCGACTTTCTTTAGCTTTTTTGCTTAAATGTTTAATGTTTTGCTTCTTAATTGACAAAATTATTTCTTATTTAACACTTTTTTTCTTCACCTGATCTAATCTGTTATTAATCCATTATCAATATATTATAAAACACAAGTTTGCCTTTTTATAGAGGAAAAATATTCTTATTTCTGAGGCCAAATATACATTTTTCCAAGTATGTTATATTATGATGTTATTATACATTGTTGAGTTCAATACTGCTTTTTTGCACGAGTATATAGATGTCAAACATATATTGCATGGACTCTAGTCTCTGATATAGATTTTGAGGCTATGTGCGAGTCCAATAGAATCTGTATTTTTGTCAAAAATATATAATAACCACTTTATTTGACATCATCATTTTTTTACATTTTAATAGAATTTAACTTCATAAGTATAACAAATTCTATACAGAATCAATGTGAACTTTGTTTTATCATTGTAATGTTGTTTTTCTTTCATGGTCCTCTTAAAAATAAAAAATAAAATGTCGCGATGTTTATTGATATTTCTTGGTAATGGCGAAGTATTCACATCTAGCTTCATACTTGATACTAAACGTTTGTGTCAGCAAATCAATACATTCAAATGATAATTAGTATTTTGTTGAAATTGAAAGGTGCAAAAATATCATGTTCTATGTAAGATTTTGTACGACAAAGTGATTTGTGTCAGTTTTATATCATTGTTCGATAGCCTTAGTTTTTAAAAGTTAAAATTTATTTTGTTTGTTGCCCTTGTGTAAAATCATACATGTTAAGTATAACTTATTATAATAAATGTGTCGTTACATATATTCCTCGCGTTGCATTTCTAGTGATAACGTCACATGTTTAATGGTAACGACACATGTCTAACTATATATAGAACGTGAACTTTCATTTTAAAGCATAATAAATATCTGGATTCAAAGTGATCCCTCGAAAACAGCAAAATTACATGAAAGTTGCAGACGCGGTTTTTTTTTCAGTCTGAACATGAGGGATACTGAAAAAAGTGCAAAATCTTCAACGCTCCCTAGCACATACAATCGGTCCTATAGTGTTCAAAAGGGAAAGAAGCCCTGTACGAAATTTTCTGCACGGAAATGAGGCGGAATTCAATGGCAGATTCCGCCCAGAAATTTAAATTCTCCCCCAAATATACAAGTGTTAAACCATTTGCTTTTGGCACGGATTCCGGCCGGATTCCAGGCGGAAACGGGACGGATTCTGGGCGGAATTGGGACGAAATATGCAAATGAGTTGGGGCGGAATTTTGAAGCGGAATCTTGGGGCGGAATTTTGAAGCGGAATCTCTGGGCGGAATTTTGAAGCGGAATCTCTGGGCGGAATTTCGGAACGGAATTTTGGAACGGAATTGTCAAACAAAATTCTGGGCGGAATTCTGGGACAGAATTCATGGGGGCGGAATTTTTATGAGTTTAACATGATCACATTTTTTTGGGATAAAATTATCAGTAATGTATCACATTAAATTTTCTTTCACAAAATTTAATACATATCCTTTAGTCCAAATACAGAATAGAATACCATACATTCACTATAACACAAACAGTTTTTTTCTACCTGAAGGTTTTGGTAGGTACTGGTTTTCTTAGAATCCAACACTTTGTTTTTTTGCAATTTTTTTGCTGAGAGTGTTTCAATCAAAAATTTGTTTCAAATGTTTCTGATTATTTAAATTACTATTTCTTTAACTGATGTCTGTTTTAAGTCCACTGCCTGTGTTTCCAAGAACTTCTTGTGGTTGTGCTAACCTTTAATAATAAAATTAATAATTAATTAAACAAAAATGTAGTAATGAATTATGTTTGATTGCATAAATATATGCAGTTATATTTCATATTTTTGATAATATCAAATTTTATGTTTCAACAGTATTAAATATTAACAGTGCTTATGCATATTCAAAAATACTAAAGCTTACGCAGTATCTTATTTCAGTGCACAAGTGTTTAAGAATTGCTCTGTATAAGAATTAATTAACTGCTTTATTTGTGACACTATTTATTACTGGTTATGTATTTTTTCAAGGAAGATGTTGAATAGTAAAGTATTGAGATTTAAAAATATACCTATTCAGGATTAATACTGCACATCTTTATTGAAACACCTTGCATCTCACAGTCAGCACTTAACTCCCAGTCTGAAAATATGAGTGTAAAATGTAATTTTAGATTGTTCCATTGGAAACACAACACATACATGTAAAATAATAAATGATTATGATGACCCTGTTCAGCTGTACAAAACTTCTGAATTTGTACCATTTATTCCTATTTAATCAAATTGACCTAATTTGTTTAATTTCCAGGAAATGAAAAAGATCTACTACATGCTATTAATTTATACAATACACACAATCATTATATAGAATCATTGAATAATTTATATTTTACAGCCATTAAACATGTAATAAAGATTTAAAACAATTATCAGAAAAAAACAAATGTATGAAGTTGAAAATATAAAAACAACATTGACCTCTTGTTACAAATTTTAGTTTGCTACCATTGATAGTTTGATATACAACTTGTTTCAGCATTAATGTAACTAAAGGTTTACAATTACCTGATTATGTTGTTCATCTCCTTGTCCCATGTTTTCACACTTATTTATCATACCAATACTAAAACACTTTGAGATCTTAAACAAAAGTATATCTCAAAAATTGTTAAAATATCAAGTACATCTTCTGTTATTTGCACTCTTTTTGCTGACCCAGATATCTTAGAATTCAAAATTCACAACTGTATAACTGCATGGACAGGTCAATCATTATGTAAAACAGGGTTAATTTACTCATCATCTCAACCTCCATTCATTGAATGTAACAAAAATTCAAGTAACAAATAGATATATATATATAGAATTTAAAAATCATTACAAATTTCTGAACAAAAAAAAATTGCAATGTCCTAGACAAATTCTGCATATGAAATTTATAATGTTATCTCTCCCCAAAATAATTCAATGGAACAGCCTGATCTGTTGGAATGACCAGTGGAGTAAATTAGTCATGCAAAGAATTCAAGATGGTGGGAAACTGCTGGTCAGTTGAGTTTTATCAGAGCTCTGATCTGTGTAGTGTCAAATCTCAGTGGATATATATTGTAGTATTTATTTACCTAAATGAAAGCAATTATTGGGCATATTGGCTGATCAATTCTATATAGATTAAAAGGGCATACTATATGAGATTATTTCATGCAATGTTTTTGTTTTGTTTTTATTTATTTTTTATAACAAAATCATGATTTCTTAGGGTTAAAAATGGCAAGCACACTATCTTGTCCTGTGGCTGTCCTGATATTCCAATTTAAACAGCATTCTTATTTCAATGTTGCTTTTTATAAACCTAAGCATTTTGGAGGTGAATGTTTTCAAGTTCTACACTAAGATTATTACAGTTGTTTTTCAGTACAAAAAATATTTGCTAAATTAGTCTGACAATATATCATATGCCACAATATTTAAAAACATTGTTTAGGCATATTTTAATGTCTAAAAAATAACCCTATTTATTCTAAAATACACCTGTAATTATTGGTCAAGTATCATGCTTCAACAAAAATAATAAGTACAGTTGGTAAAATTACATTGTCTGCAAGTGCAAAAACAAGAGTTAACAATTATGATTTAGACATCTTATATGTGAAATTCTGTTCAAGAAAAATATTTAAGTATAGAATTCCGCCCATAGTGAAGACCATTCCTTCCCAAGAAAATTTCAAAGTTGAAAATTCTGTCCAAGAAGAAATGTTTAAGTATAAATTCTGCTCCAAATAAAATTCCAGCCGGAATTTTTCTAGTTTTCCGCCCAGAAAAGTGAACAAAATATTTTTCTTGTGAGACAGAATGACACGGAATTTGCGTTTCCGTTCCTGGTCCGCCCAGAAATCACTGATTCCGTGTCAATTCCGTGCCAATTCCGCCCAGAATCCGTGCCAAAATTTCGTACAGGGCAGTCGTGTTAGAATTGTAAATAGTTTGCGACGTGGGTAAATTTGATTGCTGTGAATAGAACGTGCACCTGTTCAGACTTGTTGTATATATGTTTAAACTATCTTTAGTTGGTCATCTTTGTTTATTGGTTTTCTTTTAAGAAAACATTTTCAGTTCATATGTTTCCACTGTTTTATTTTATCGGATAACGTTAGTTGCGCTCCCGTGATTGACCCAGATCGTGTAAGATATTCTTTACTATCAAAATGTGACAAGGATCCCCTCATTCTCTGCACCAGAGTTTGGCTCAATTTTCGGTAAATTTTGCATCACCTTGTTGGTTTATTACTTTCTCATCTTTTCGACTTCGCGTTTGAATGCAGTTATTCCCGATGTTTTGTTTGCCATAAGTCGAGAAAGTTTTATTCTTATGCGGCCTATGTCCGTGTCTTCAATATCCATGTCACTCACCTGGGCCATTAGAAATTTGCTCATTTTTCGACTATGATCTGCTTGTGCTGCCATTAATTCTCTATAAAATACAAAAAAATCAATTTGGTATCCATACCATACACTGACAATAAGCAATAACAATTTATGAACGTAGCTTGCATTTTTCTTTTCCTTCACCTTCAAACTTAATAAACGGGTTTAACGTTTGTAACTGGACTTATTAGAAAAAATTTTCAATCACCGGCATTCTCTCATTTAGAGTCGTGTAAATGACGTATATTTTCCCTTAATGGCATATAATTTTAAGATAATGTTCAAACCTTTGTTCATTGAACGCCGTCTTTCCTTGTTGATCTTGTCTATCATATTTTACATGTAAATATCTCCTTTAACCTTTGCAAATAGTTCATCCTGCGCTCACCGTCCACACCAAGCTTTAGTATCCTTAACCACTTAAGGAAGGCATGCCAATTGATGATCAACTTTCAGTACCAAACACTATTCAAATAAATTAATCTCAACAGCATTATTCATTTTCATTCAATAAATCTGTGGAAAAAAATCAATAGAAATTATTTGTGAAAAAAAATATGGGTTTTAAACAAAAGATGATATTTACAATGCTTTTGAGTAAAGATAGTTTTCGATTTTCATCAAAACAATCTGTAAAAAATCTATAACTTGCCAAAACACAGTACCCAAGACCTATTGTCA